TAGATAGTAGCCTGGCAGGGGATTTGACAGCAAAACCATTAACTGTGAGTCTCATTTTCTGTCCCATGTTGTCCTGCAGAGTTTCAGGTATGTCTCTCATCTGCTTTTTCACATGGCATGCTTCCTCACCTTGCATAATATATTTGCTTGCTCATGGGTTGCAAGAGACACCTTGCCCTGAATGCACACCGCTCACTCCTGCTACATGCTTGCATCATTGTTGGATTAATGTCAACTACAGGGCATGCAGTGCAGCGCTTTCAAATAGCTAAACATGCACTGCCCAGTAGCTGAACCAGTGTTCTGTAAATGCAATGTACAATCATTGCCTCATGTCTTGTTTTGTGTGTTGTTTACCAATGTTATGACTCAAGCTAAATGTCACATTTGAATATATTCACCATAGAAAAAAAAAAATACAGATACATTCAGAGAACATGTAAAAGACTGCCCATCTTGAATACTAATTAAGATACTCAACAGTATCCAAGCTACTCGCTCCATCCAGTGAAAACCTTGCCCAGTGTCATTAGTGGACATATTCATTGCCATTAACCCTGCAGTCCCCTTCCACTATATTACATTTGTGTATGTTCTATTCTTTAGCACATTAAGGATGGCCGTGCAGCACTTGCAAGGATGGACAGGGGAGTATCTATGCCTAATATGTTGGAACCAAAAGCAAGTATCTTCTTCTTTTTGTACTGATGACAACATTGTAATCTACACTGAAATATGTTACAAAACCTATACATTGTTCACTTATTTAAGTGCATTTTAACTTGTAAACAAGAATACACGTTGCCACTAATTTAGAGATAGTCCAACCATGGCAATTTGAGAGACCAGCCCAAAAGAGGAGTAGGAATTGAAATAATTAGCTTGTTGTATTTACCCTCTTAGTGCGGGGACATTGGTGGAAGAAATAGGGAACTAAAAGAGATTTTTCCTGGAGGTGAAAGACTCACATTAGCTGGGTTCCTGATTTAGCATGCCGCTTCAGGAGCTGCCAAGTCACTCTAGCGCTTAGCATGCTGGCTTCTCCATGCTCATCTGCACATAGCTTTGACTTAAAGTGGCTGGATACTGTATGCAGCATACAGTGGAGAATCCAACACCCAGACTGTCATCCAAACAACTCATATCACTATATACTGCGTAGTATATAAGATATTGTACATTATTGTGTGGATATGAGTTGGTCAGAGGCCTCAAAGAACTTCTAGTTGCTTATTATTGAGCATTTCACCTAAATTAACAACTATGATTTGCAAGTTTCTTCTTGTACAGATGGGATTAGTTATTTAGAAAAGTAGCAGCACCTCAGTTTTTCAGGACAATCATTCCCATATGAATTTACTTGGCCTACATTACTGGTGTTAGTTCTTTTTTTAGTTTGCATTAAATTACTCTAAAAATACAGCCCGTTACATAACTCTGTTTTCATGTTTTTGCCCTTATCTAATCTACTGCACGTTTCTACACCCAAAAAAAGTGTGCACACCATAGCACCCTGCATTTTCCCGAACAACCTTAGAAAAACAGCTCTCACTCCCAGTCGGCCTCCTGTCACATACCTGTTCTCCCACCCAGTGTTCCCTCTGTCACAGTCAGAACTACAAAGATATCCAAATTTGATAGTTTTGTTTTAATCAAAAAAAGTTTGTTTGCAGGTTTTTGAAGCTTAACTTTAGCTGGTAGGTTTGACCTGTTCACTGACAAGTGTCTCCTTCTGAAGGTGTATCCCTATGAAATGCTCATGATAACCAGTAGAGGGAGAGCTAAACTGCCCAGGGATGTGGACAGAACCAGACTGGAGGTATCAGTTTTCCACCTGACTGTCCGCAATTGATACTGGATTTCTCTACTTTGTGTAAATAACATGTTACACAAATACAACTGTAGCAACGAATGTGCAGTATCCATTGCTTCTTGTCATTTTTGCAGTGACCCTTTTTATGGCTTTGGTGCTAACCACGAACACCCCCCTCCCCTCCCACCCTCCCCTCCTTTGTTTTCTCCACCTTTGTTCTCAATTCTAGCGCCACTTAGCACCTGAAACGTTCTTTGACATCTTTGGAATGGAGATCCAGGAGTTTGACAGGCTTCCCCTGTGGAAACGCAACGACATGAAAAAGAAGGCCAAGCTCTTCTAGCACTCAGAGCAGCATGCACATACTGTACATTCATCCAGATAGCACACAACAACTGTAATCTAGATGTAGGTTTTGGTTTATTTCCTTTCCTTCTGGGTTTTTGTTTTATCCTGGCATAATCAAGGAAGCTGTGAAATGGACTCTTTTTGCTCTGATGCTTCCTGCGACTGTGAGCTGAATGATTTGTCCAGTTAGACTTGCACAGGAAACAAGGAATGGGAATCTCTTCCATATTCAAAAATGACAAAGAATGAGACTGAATGATAAATAGGGTCATGTTATTTGGTTTGACTGCGCTTGTTTTACTTCTTGCTTTGCTTTGAGTGGAACTGCTTTCCTTTCTTTCTTGCTTGTTTCTTCCTACTATTTGTTGCTGTTGATTCCTGTGGAACTTTGTAAGTACAGTAGAACCTCATGGCGCCATTACGAAATGTCCATGCTCGTAGCTTGAACATGTGTCAGCTTTCCTTCGCTTGGGCTGAAACAGTTTTAGTCCAAAGTTTGCAAGAATCGGCTCAGTGAGTCTTTGAATTAAAAAAAAGCCACTGGGAAAGCAGTCAGCTGACCCATCAACTGTTTTACCGGATCAACATGGAAATGAATCATCCAAGCACCTACACATCGTCAGTCTCCTTCCCCTGCCTACTGTACATGCCAAACATTCATCTGACCCTGACAAAAAGAAAATGTCTCTCTTCTCAGGCTCTCATAAACATGGCCAGACACTTTCCCTTTACATGTATTGGAAGTACAAATCTTAATATATTTTAATGCCGTATCCAACATACAGTAACCAACAAATAGATAAAACACCTAATGTAAGAAGCAACTGTATTTGAAAGTACTGTTTTATAAATGAAAACCCACACTGCCATTTGTTGTATTGAAATCTAAGCCAATAAAGCTTTAAATCACCATGAACCATATGATCCTCGGCTATACCAAAGGTACCCACCGCCTCTTTTCTGTTCTCTGTTTTCTTCTTTGCATTTCACCCATATACATCCTGGTTCAGTGATGTTACCCAGGGTGAGAGGTAGTCTGAGGACTGATTGACTGTTATGGGACCAATCAGACGGTGGAGTCTTTTGACCTTCTTCATAAACACATCAGTTGGGGCCCCTGTGAGGAAACATCTTTTTACTAGATTTTAGCCTTCTACTCTGATGAAGTACTTACAGTGCATATCTGCACCTTAAAGTTTTATGAAGTAACAAATATTCCTCTGATATCACTACATATACTAGTGAACACCATCCCAGGAAAGATTAAGTCATTATTCTTGTACCATTGATGAAACTGAAACTGCAGATTGTGCCTTCAAAGACCATGGCCCATATATAACACATTATGTACTGCTTATATACTGTATAACTGACCATTTTCCAAAGCATGCCACCATTTGCCAAACTAATAAGGTTTTACTTCATTTCAAGCAGCTGTTTCTGTTAATGCACTTTTTTGGAAATATTTGACAATCTTGATTAAGAAAGATAATGTGGACATTAAACAACATTCTGTTTCGTTATCTTTGTGTTGCAAACAATGATTATTTGAACGCCTCCTCCAGATTGATACATTCAAGTGCAATTGGGAAGGCAAGACATCTGAGACTTGGCAGCCACGGCAACATCTTTAATGCAAGGAACTCCCAAAATCCTTTCATCCTGTTTATAATATGTTTCTATTGTTCATCCTCTGGGTTTTTGTTTCCAACAACATGGCAACTCGGTATATTCATGACAGCAGCTGTTAACTCTTATTAAATATCAGACACAGCCTCACACCTGAATTACTGTAAAGCATTACCCTGAAGACTTTTGAAGACAATACTTGACATTGACTTAATTATCCCGTAATAATGTAAAAAAAATAGAAAGGAAACTAATTTCAAATAAATGGATAACTCCATTTTTAATGTTTTACATACAATACTGAAATTAACTGAACAGTGGCTCCCTGGATGGTAGGAGAAACACAGTTAAAGATCCCCCAGACTCGTTTTGAGACATAAAATACGTGTAATAATAATGTGTTTGATCTGCTTTTCCCACAAAAAGTTAAATAAAACAATTAAAGATTCTTCAAATTGCATCTACTCTACTTTTTCCCCACAGAAAAATCCAGAATATATGAATATGCAAATATTGTTCATTTGAAAACTTAACTAACAAAGGTCCATGCTCAGTGTATGTGCACTGGAGGTTCATGTTCAAGTTTTCACATCACACTTGGGTATGTTGCATTCTGGGCAACAACTGGCTTTTTTATGTATTTTAATTTTTTTTACACAACAGCTGCACAACAATACAAAAAATAAATAAATAAAAACAATGAAGACAGCTGCACAAAGCAAAGGCCCAAGGATTATCTCACTTGTAATGTGCTACAAAGAGAGAAATACATACAAGATAATAACTAAATGTGAATCATTTGGAGTTACATTCAGGAGGGTGGGAAGGGTTAAAGATTAGCCCTTATAATCTATAAATGTTTCTAAATTATCTCAGTTATCACTGGAGCCACATATTATGAGTCTCAATTTCTCAAGTCTGAGATGCTGCATCTTAAACTGTGATTTAAGATGTGCAAAGAGAAACTGTCCTCCTTCACCAGACAAGTATGAAGACAGCCTACTATTGTCAAACTCAGTCTGCAAAGTGAAGTATCTAAGTGAGGTAACAATACACAAAATGTATTTCTGGGTGGAGGCGGACTTTAACAATTTAGAAAACCATGGTGTGCTTTGGAAAATGTCTACAGTGGCATAAAACATTCAGCAATTTGTAGTAGAAACTGCACAAACATGCCAGTGGTCTCTAACATGTTGTGACAAAAATATTCTCCTTAGACCATGTTGGCTCTGTAATATGAACCACACAAGTCAAATAGTGTCACTCACAGATAACGCATCACTTGTGCAATGTGTGCAATGTGGCCTCATTCAGTCACAGGGGGAATTATTGTAGGACAAATGTGAATGATAATAATTGTTCCTCCTGGAAAAGGCAGCACTGACCAACACTGACAGTTGGAATATAGAAGACAGATTCCTGCTTCAGGGGTCTCAACACTGCAGTGTGTCAGTCGTGTAACGAAAATAAGGAAATCAATGAACATAATTTTCCACTCAATTAGGTGTCAGAAACTCAGAAAAACCTTCAGTACCACCACAGGAAACTGTACCATTTGAAAATACAAGAGAAAGACTAAAGACAAGATGGTTGTGACAGTACACACACTCCTGTCAGTCAATCTCCACTATGTTGCTACCTACATAAAGTCTCATAATGAACTGCTTCTGCTTCTGCAGCCGCCCTTCGCCACAAAGAATTTGGCTGAGTGGTGTTGAACTGAGCTGTGCTGAATGTGTGTGCAACCCTCTCTACAGGAGACATTAGAAAAGCACCAAGAGAGTCTCAAGAAGCAAAGGGAAGCTGTGAAATACAGACTGAAAAAACTGGCAGCACGGCAATCAGAAATCACAGTAAGTTGTGTTCAGCCTAGTCAGTGCTTACATTTTGCCACAACATGAAATCTTCTTCTTTGTTGTGACATTAAAGCTGTAGTAGGTAACTTTTTAATATTTGAAACTTTCAGTATATCCTGACAGTAGAAACTGGAAACACGACCTGGGAATGAGACTCAATAATCAGCTATCTTTCTTGGCTCTGATTGGTTGTTTTCATTCAGGCCCAGTGGAGTTTTCCAAATGCCATTCGGAACATTAGGAGGAGCCAGAGGAACCTGATTTTTTTCACAGATTATCTGTCTTATGTACTACTGTCAATATACAGTGAAAGGTTCAGCAAATGTGACAAAATGTTATTTTTAGAAAAGTTATCTACTGTAGCTTTAAATTTGAAAAATGTCATCAGTTGTCCTGCTACAAAAACACTAACACCATAAATACACCTGTGGTCAGGCAGTATGATAAACTGATAAATGCTTATGCCCGACTCAGAAAAAGTCCTTAGTGATAAGGGAGAGCATCATACGGAAATATCAAGAGATCCAGGCCATCCTGGATGAGGACATGAGGATTACCCTGTCGCACCTGGAGATGGAGGAGCGAGCTGCTGTCTCTGCCCTGGATGGGCTGATGGAAAGGAACTGTGCTCTAATCCAGGAGATAGAGCAGGACCTGGCCAGACTCTCTGTGGCACTGGACCAGACAGACATAGAACCTGACACAATGGTGATTCAGTTGATAGCTGCAAAGTCAAATATGATTGGAAATGTAATATTTACCTTCTCATTCATGTATGTATATTAATCTTCATTGTTCTGCTTTTCTTCAGTCTTTCTTTTCATTCTCTGAGCAGCAAGACATGGAGACAGGGGTCAGGTATGGAATCATGTCATCATTTAAAAAGAGCTCCAGTATGAAGCAGTGGTGCAGCAGCTGATGTTTCTCACTATGATCTGACTCCCCCAGAGTGGTGGATCTGCTTAACAGAACAGACCCGATCCGTGTGAGTCTGGACGAAGTTAAAGCTGACCAGATTCTCAGCCTCACCAACAACATGCTTCTGCTTATCGGCTCACAAACCCCTATAATCAAGACACTCATCAAGAGTTGTTAGTTGACACATTATTTCTATAAGTAATAGTAACCACATTTCAACCTCTGTAACATGTAGATTTTTGTGTGTAAAATGTGTTAAATATGTGTCTCTAGATTCCAGTGAGGTGTGTCTGGATCCACAGACGGCTCACCCAAAGCTGATCATCTCCCCCAAAGGTGACAGTGCCACCTACACAGACACCTGGCAGCAACTTCCTGACCTCCCTGGACGCTTTGACACCACCCTTAATGTCATCAGCTTGCAAGGCTTCAGCTTTGGTCGCCATTATTGGGAGGTTGATGTAACTGGCAAGACTTACTGGGAGCTGGGTGTCACCTATCCCACCATTCCCCGCAAGGGCACCACTGAGGCGTGCTGGCTGGGCCGAGGGGACGAGTCTTGGTGTGTGGAGTTCTTTGATGGGGAGTATACAGCATGGCATGGAGGGGTGCCTCATCAGCTGCCTTTCACTAAACGCTTCTGTCGGATTGGTGTTTTGTGTAATTTTCCTGCAGGACTGGTGACATTTCTTGAGGCAGACAACATGACGCCGCTGTTCTCCTTCTGTGCAGGAACCTTCTCAGACTGCCTCCACCTGGCACTGTGTCCTGGCCATGACCATAATGGCACCAATTCTAAGCCTATTGTAATTTGTAATGCCCCATCTCCTACCAGTGATCTTGGATTAGTAGCTTCACAGAAAAGCTTTTAGTAATTCCTCGCTGAGACACTATTTTCTAATAATGAACCACTTACAAAGGTTTATGACTTGTAACTAATGGCCTTATTAATAATTAAAGGTCCAGTGTGTGAGATATAGGGGATCTATCAGCAGAATATGGCGGAAATGGAATGCAATATTCAAATACAAAATTCAATTCAATTCAATTTTATTTATATAGTGCCATCATTTTAATATTTTAGGTATGTTTTCATTAGTGTATAATCACCTGAAAATAATGCTACATTAAAATTATCTATTTTTATCTACTGAGGGAACAGGTCCTCTTCCACCGAGTCTCCCAAACCAGCCGAACACCGGGTCTAGATAGGTCCTTTTGTGTTTTTTTGTCAGCCACTGCAGTGCACGCTTGGAAGGTGAGTAGTATTCAGTTGGTTGCAATCACCAACTTCAATGCAGTATGCCACTAAATACTACACACCGGTCCTTTAAACAAGAGTTTACGTACACGCTAGCGGCTCTCTGAGGCTGTACGCATTATGGTGCTTCGTGCTGAATGCTAACATCAGCATGAGACATTGATAGTGACTACACTGACAATATTAATGTGATGTTATAAGCCATTGTCAATCAAAAGAGCAATAATAACAAGGTTTTGGGTTTCAGGTTGTGAAATATCTGTCTGGGCCGTGTTTATGCTTTCTTTTTGGTAATAATACAGTTATAAATGTTAGCAATCCATTTAATAAATGTGCATGGGTTTCCAAGTAATCCTGTTAATAACTGGAAGAAGGGTTCAAAAGTGTCTTCCTAATCAATGAAAGAGTTTTCTAAAAACACATGCTGGAGGAGGATAAACAATCTACAAAGCATTACTATATTCTTTATCAAACATTAATAAAGCCATTAGTTACAACTAATAAACCCTTCCTTATTAGAAAATGGTACCCTTGCTAATACTGGAATTGTTCCTCTTTCATATGACATAGAGGCACAATGTAAAGAAAACGTTCAGTAGGAAGACAGTTCCCTTCAAGGAATAGATATATAGATAGATAGATATACTTTATTGATCCCAATCATATTAAAAGAGAACACTACACATTTCCTTCAGACATAGGTGGAGCCAGGGGGTGGCCAGTGGTGGCCATGGCAACCATAGGCTAAACCCCACTTGCCACCCCACATAGGGTAATTTTTTTCTTGTGCTGAACCGTTTCTTTACTGCCACAGCTTTAATGGGAATGCTTTTTAGCACAGCACCCATCTCGTTGTACTGCACCTCCCCAAACCACTACTAGGGGGTCATTTTAGATACACACATATTCATCATAAGAAAATATCAGAATCTAACTTAAGTACAGCACAATGCCATGCAAAAAACAAACAAACAAACAAACAAACAAAACTGAACAAGATAGGAATTTCTGTGCCACACCACAGTGAACACTGGCCCCTGCCTGGCCACACCTGTGGAAATTGTTCGGCTCCGCCACCGCTTTCAGTGCCTATAGGTGAACTTTCAGATGAATGTATAAAAAAATATTAGAAACAGTGTGGCCCATCTCTACGCTCACTAAATTAGGTAAAAGGACCATGAAAACAGTGTTGTAAGCATATTGAGTTTAGATATTCTCACTTTATGACAAAGTCTTGTTTAACAAAGTTACTCATAATGTTATATGTACAAGTGATGTTATTGGTATATTTGATTTAGAATACAATAATGCTGTAAGTTAAGCACACACTGATTTTGTAATGTATAAAGAGATCCAAAACAATACCTGGTAGTGTATCCTGATATGCACCTAGTGTATTTGGATCCAAAGTCTACATTCAAACAAACAAACTGACTGCAAATATGCTCTCTGAGCTTTTGTGCTGCATATGAGCACACTCTTATCCTATTTGATCACAATTCATTTTAATGAATTTCAATATGAAAAATGTTTAAAGGGCAGTGAAGTCGCTGATGTTGAATTTGCTCCAATCATTTGTGCATTCAAAATGTCCTGCATATTATTCCTGAAAAAATAACTATCCAAGAGCACAGTCAAGATCAATAATACTGACTCAGCACCAGGGATGGATGCCAGACACCCCCGGTGAATCAAAGGTTAGTGTACTTACACAAATGTTTGGAAAAGTGTGAGGGATCTGCCAGACAGCACAATCTCATTTACTCTCCTGGAATTCTTGTGATCCACTGCCATCATGAACCTAAAGCTCCTCTTCCTTTGCCTGTTCCTAGCAGCGCTCCTCATACCTGCTGAAGTATGTATTTACTATATTACATTATATATGTGCAGCAAATGTATTGGCTCTCATTTACAATGTTGCAATGTTTGATAATGCATTTTGCTGGGAATAAAATGCAGTAAAGCTTACTGTCCACGTTTCTGCTTAAAAGGATTAATTAATTTCATTTATTTTATCATGGTAATCTTGAACTGTCAGAAACAACAAAATTATAGCTACTTCACATTATTTTTATTATTATGACTCTTATGTGGTGCTGTCAAATTATTATTCAGATGAAACATAAAAAGCACAAGAAACATCATCATCATGATAATGGACGTGGGCATCATAAACACAACAAAACGAGAGGAAGATTTAAAAATATAATTGAGGGTAAGTGCTGCTTTGTATTCCTTTTATAACATATTATATATAGAGAACTATATCTAACATTTAGTATCCTGTGGATACTTACAGTGTATAATATAACTCCCCAGTCAACCTGATATTTGTTTTATTGGATAAGAAAGAGATGAAAACAATGATGCTTTATATCTAATAAAAGAAATATACTGTTTTAGACATCTTCTTTGAAATTTTTGATGGAGCTGGTGATGATGATGAAGACGATGAAAGTTCAGACTGGCTTTTGGAACTTCAAGAGCCAGAAGGTGAGAGAGTTAACACTCAGGTATTCTGTCAAGCTATTTATATCTATCTGTGTAATGTCTGATTTCTTAATGGCTACATAATGAGGCTACATTGCAATGTGAAGTTCTAATTTAATTTCCCCTTTTAATCTTTTGACATTTCTCAGGCCAATGCAACCCAAACCCTTGCCTCAACAATGGAGAGTGTGAGCTGAAAAACAAGGGAAAATTCAAATGTGATTGTCCCAAACCGTTCAAGGGAAGGAAATGCGAAAAAGGTTTGAAACACTTTCCCTGTGCTGTTTTTGGACTGCAGACTGGTCATATATGCACAATATGTAATGAGCAAAAATAAATTCAAACTATTGTGTCATCATCTCAGGTCCAAAACGTTGTAGGAGAGGTAGATGTGGGCGTGGTGAATGTGTGCTGACTTCAACTCCCCCATTCTATGAGTGCAAATGCAAGGCGCCCTTCCAGCCTCCACACTGCAGAACTTGTAAGGAGTATTTCTTCGTACAAACAAGACAGAATATTTCTGTCTTTTCCCTTGAATAAAGCATTCACTGTTAACTATTTTTCTCCAAAGTGTCACTGTGTGAGCCTAATCCATGTAGGAATGGTGGAACATGCATCAGGGATGCTAATGACTTTGACTGCCAGTGCCCTCCAGGGTACAGAGGACGTTTCTGCCATGTTGGTAAATACTACACGCTACATTATTGTTTTCCTTTTCCCTGTCCAGTACATGCATTGTCATAACTCATGTTCTGACCGAGTGTGCTATATTTCTTATTCATACTCTTGCTGAGAGTTAGTGTGTTGTTTTTATTACCTTTTTCTTTTCCTTTTTAACTCATGTGAAGTGTCTTTGAGTTTCTTGAAAAGCGCTCTATAAATTAAATGTATTATTTTTATTATTATTATTATTATTATTATTATTATTATTATTTCTTAGGACCAAATGACTGCTATGTGGATGATGGAGAGTCATATCGTGGCAATGTGAGTGAGACAGATGATGGCGATGAATGCCTTTACTGGAACTCTCACTTCATCCTGGAGAAAGGAGCTGATCCTTTCAGCTCCTTCGAGGACAAAGATGGACTTGGCCCTCACAACTTCTGCAGGTCAGGAGAAAATAAAAATGTGCATTCAAATGGCAGGGGACATCTGCAAGGGGATGCTCACTCACATATTTGTATGACACAGAAACCCAGATGGAGAGCTGATGCCCTGGTGTTTCTTCAGAAGAGGCAGAAAGTTGTTTTGGGACTACTGTGATGTGACAGAATGTCCTGAACCAACAGGTCAGCTCTGAAGCTTCAGACAGTTCTCTGATTATGAGTGCGGTCAATAAAAGTTGTTATCGATCTTCTTGTTTATGTTTTCAGGTGTGACGCCAACTGAAATTGTGCCGCCAGACCCCAAACCCACTGCTCCCAAGCCCCAACCTACACCACCTGTACCTACAGGAGTCGTCAAGCCAACCGATTCACAACCCCAAATGACAACCGCCCCAACAATGACAGAGGATCTAGAACCTTCTTCTGCATCAGCTAGTGTATCTCCCATCCCCAGTGGCACTTCCCCACCACGACAGTTCTCAACCTGTGGAAAGCCTCAGCCAAAAAAATCCATTACCAGAATCTTTGGGGGTCTAAAAGTCGCTCCTGGTGCTATACCCTGGCAGGTGTCTGTGCAAGTGCGACGAAAGAACTCTAAACAAGCATTCAGACACGTGTGCGGAGGAGTTCTCATCGAGAGCTGCTGGGTACTGACAGCTGGACACTGCATGTAAGTGCAATAATTAGGAATAGAAATCTGACATCAGCTGATATAATAGATTTCAGATGTGAATGTAATCTTTACTGAATTATGTGTTTATTGTGTTTGGACAGTGACCAAAACCAGGACATGCAGGTGTCTATGGGAAGTCTGTCACTGTCTTCGGAGGATCTCACAGAGCAAACCGTAAGAGTGGAGGAGGCTATTGTACATGAGAACTACAGGGAGACTAAAGAGGCTGTTTACAATGACATAGGTGATCAATGTCTCTCTCATTTCTATAAAATAAGCACCAGTATTACAACAATAATAGAATTTAATATCTGATCTCATATCTGTATCTTAATAATTTTTAAGGATGTGAAAGTGTCACCAATTAAGTACCTTTGTAATTATATAATGATAGTATATGAATATAGTTCATGAAGCAGATGTATCATTTTATTTTTGGTTTTGTTGTGACTTTTATCCAAACTGAATTTCCAAAGCCTTGTTGAGGCTGAGCGGTACCGATGGAGTTTGTGCCAATGAGACCCAATTTGTGAAGACAGCCTGTCTGCCAGATGCCCAACTGCCTGATGGGAAGGAGTGTACCATTTCTGGATGGGGTGCCACTGAGGAATGTAAGGCCACTTTTTCATGTTCAGACACAAAATAAAAGCCATTATTTTCATTCAGATCTTTTGGGTTTCTTCAGAAGCACATAACAGTTTAATGTCTTTTAGTTTAAAGGACCCCCTAAACCTTGAATCTTTAAATCAGAAACAACAATGTCATGTTTGTTTTTCTGGTTATTTGGTAAAATCGAATTTTTCCCACCTCATCTTTGCAGCTGAGTATGGTACCAACCACCTGCTGGAGGCCAATGTACTGCTAATCAACCAGGAAAAGTGCTCTGAGCCCATTGTGTATGGTAGTGTCCTGGATAATACTATGTTCTGTGCTGGCTACCTGCAGGGAGGCGTGGATTCCTGCCAGGTTAGTAGAGGAAGCTTGCTAGTTAAGTGCATGCTATTGTTCAACATATATGCATGAATCACATATCTGAGATAAGTTCTTAAAATAGTTGTGTGATTTTCTATCTGGTCATCTGTTTGCTCTTGTTTCAGGGTGACTCTGGAGGACCACTGACTTGTAAGCAGAACAGTACTGATATTATTTATGGTCTGGTGAGTTGGGGAGACCAATGTGGAAGAAAGAACAAGCCTGGCGTCTACACACGGGTTGTTCACTTTGTGGACTGGATCAAGTCAAAGACTGGAGCAGCATCTCCATAAATAAGCTCTATTAACTCAGCAACATGCCAGCGTGTAGCGGAGGACTTGGTTGTGTATGGAACAACTACTTACTCATCATGATTTAGCTTTTGGATCATTTGCAGTTGACCTGTTATTTTGCTTTTCAGGTCTTAAATTTTAAAATCCAGTGCTACTACAACCCAAAAGCAAATAAAGCATTTCGTCAAATTGTGTTGTCTGTCTTCTCTGAACAACTAAATGTCATATTCCATCGGTTTCCCCCTAAAGCCAAAGGCAACCCAAACCCTTACAATAAAAAGTGATGCGGAAAAGGAAAAGACACAATACATTTAAAATGTGACTGCCCTCAGCCCTCAGAAAAAACAAAAAGTGTAATGTTTTCTTTTCTCAGTGGTCTCACAGCAGGAATTACATTATAATTGTGGAGGAATGCGTAATAAATAAAATAAATAAAAACTTCTAACAGTAAGTAGATATATCATTAATGACATATAATTAACCATGCAGATAAATGTTTCCTCTTACTGTGTACTTCATTGAGTTTCTCTTTATGCTGCTCTGTGCCTCATGTCCTTACTGTACAGAATCCATAGCTGCACCCCTGGTTTTCATGAATATGCCTTTTAATAAACCAGTAGACAAAGACAAGATCAAATAGGGTTACATTTTCTCATTTTGTCACCACTTTTGAAAAGCTGACGAGCCACAAAATGTTCTCCAGCTTTAAAGTCTATGAAAATGTTCTGACAGATGATTTGTGCCTGGTGCCTCCAAGGCTCCAGAAAAGGAGCAGACAGATGGATATGGATTTTCAGACTGTACTCTTCCATCTCTTCTTCTTCATGTACACAGAGGAAAATTGGACTGTTTTAATAGTCTAAAAAAATAAAGTCAAGTCTCTTGTATTCTGTCACTGCATTATATTGTTTGCTCCAGGGCAGCAACTCTGTATCACTGACATGTGAGAATGAAGGCGTGCATGTCCTCCATGGTCTGGTGAGCTGAGGGGACAGTTGTACAAAGAACAAGCCAGTAATTTACACACGGGTCATTTACTTTCTGGGCTACATCAGGTCAAACATGAGAGCTGTGGACTGAATAGATAGACTTTACAATGGAACAAAAGTGCTGTATGATGATGCACCTGATACCACTTGATGAAATATTTAATGCACACAACAACTGCAGACAATGAAAAGGTAATATGGATAAGATTATAGACCACTACAAAAATGTAAATGTCTCTTCTCAGCTATAAGTTTGATATTTGAGCTTCACTGGGCTGGATGATGTATGTGCAGAGTTTGACACTAGAAGGATGTTTTCACATTCATCTGCTGAAAGTTTCTCTGTGCTTATTGAAAATCTGATTAAACGGGCTGAGCCTACAAGCATGAATTGTGACATCACAAATAGCTGTGATGTAGAAACTTGAAGCCACCAGTGTAAGTAGACTGAGAATTCACTTTACAGTGGAGCAGGAGACATCTTGTGTCCAGCAGAAAAACTTTAGAAATGAACACAATTTGCATATTCATAGATTCTGCAATTTTAATGAGGTACAAGGAATAGAGGTCTTTTTAAGGATTTTATTGTGGAAATTATACATTCCTTCCTTTTAACAGAAAAAACATATCAGACACACATTGTGGTTCCAAGCAGACTGTATCTTAATACATGTCTGGAGAGAATCTTTAACAGTTTTCTATGAAACATCAACATTATATGATAATAATACTATTAATAATAATAATAATAATAATGTGAACATCAGAACATCATAATGTAGTATTTTAAACTCTCTCTCCCATTGCTTCTAGAAATGAGAAATGTATTGTATGTCCATCATCTATCTCTAGCTATATCTTCTCTTAAATATGGAGGTAGGTAAATTGATCATAGTTTAAGTCAAGGCAGGGAAACTGATGATGGCTATGAAATTTTGACAGCATACAAAACTGGAATGAAACATGGAAACATTTTTAGGGTTGTCCTCTTAAGTTCATCCTTTAGCCCCATTTGTGTTCACAATTCCAGGGGTCCTTAATCAAGAACAAGGTAAGAGGCTGCCTGTTCAATCCATTCACATCAATGCATGGGTTTAACATGGGGTAGAGAGGCTCTGTGCACTGCACACGGAAAGAGTGCAACAGGGTCATAGAATCAGCATCGTAGAATGACAGCTCCCCCTTCTGGAGATTTGCCAGTATGCCCAGCTTTCTCACTCTTTTTTCCACTGACAGCTGCTTCTCCTGGGTATCATGACATGCCAGGTATTGTCCATCTCCATGGTAGATGCACCAGGATGTGTTGTTCACACCCAGGCTGGTAGATCTCTGGCTTGGACCGTCTTTCTTCTCGACTGGCCCAGCGGTCACACCTATTAGCCAGTAAGGTTTCTCCTGGACTATGACCTCCCAGTAGTGTTGGCCAGTAGTAAAACTCTCCTGAGCCAGTACACTAAACTGGGAGTCATAAGGCTGAGGGCTAACAGCTTCAGTGACAGGCTGCTGCCTCCAATACACTTGTTTCCTGTCCTGGGATATTTCCAGTTTCGGATGGGCTGTGTTGGAGTCCAGAGCAGGAGAACTTAGATCTGCAAATAACAATCTACATTCAGTACACAACTACAGAGATAACGGGGGTTGATTTTAGAAAGCAAAATATTTGTTTCTTTACTCACATGACCACATACGTGGAAAGTGTTGGGACAGAGCCACTGAGAGGTCATCCACGAGCCTCTCTACTGTTCTCAGCTTCTCGGGGTCACACAGATGTTTGTCTACTTTCTGGATTGGTGCTAAATCCACTGGGTCACTACAATAAAAACTGAAAACCATTAGACAGCAGAAAACAAACTAAAAGAAGGCAATTAGGATAGAAAAAAAGAGTGACGATATACTCACCAAAGATTCTGTGCTGTGATTTGCTGTTGAAAATAAACAAGTCATGTACCACAGTTGAAAACACTTTGGTTGCATTTGTGCAAGACTTCCATATAATCACAAAAACACAGCTATAATATATGATACCGGTAATCTACCTGCAGGAATCGCAGATGATTTGTCTCTTGGAGGAGTGATTTGCTGGAGGCTCTGAGGCTGTCTATCTCTTTGATCTGAGCCTCCATGATGCCCCTCTGGGCCTCCAGCCACTCTGTCATGTACGTCTCCTCTGCGTCTATAATCTGCATCATCAGACGCTCATCACCGTCCAGCACAACGCGGATCCTGCTGTACTTGTCTGAGACTCTTTCTCTGAAATCTGCAGCAGACTTCTGGGAAATAATAATAATAATAAAAAACATTACATCAGAGGGGATTCTATGAATCAAAACATAGATGATTAAAGGGGTATTTCACATTGACTGTACCACTGTTTGTGTATATAGTGACTCCAAGTCCTTGATGGCATGTTCTGCTTCACCTCTCCTCTTCAGCAGTTGGTTCATAGTGGTCTCTAACATGCTCTAAAGAGATAAATACAACAGGCCTATGGAAAATAAATACCCTAACTGGGACATTAATAACTATGACAGTGACAAAACAATACTGATATTCACCTTGAAGTCAGTGCAGGCTTCATGGAGTTGAGACGCTTTGTGGTTCTTGTGCACGCCAACGAGGACACACAAACAGCACACGGGGACCCTTTCCTCCATACAGAAGAGCTTGAGCTCATCGCGGTGCTCCCTGCACTTCAGAGACAGCGGATCCCCTGTCACCTCCACAACTGTGTGGTCCCGCAGAGCAGACCTCTGCTGGTGCAGCAGGGCGTGAGCCTGGCACAGTGAGGCATCGCAGGTCAGACAGGTCCTTATGGCCACCGATGGTGTCTGTATGCAGTGGTCGCAATGGATAGTTGAAGATGATTTGGTTGCCCTGCTTGGTGTTGTTGTCTGTAGCTCTGCTGTTGAAGGTCTGTTAGTGGTGAAGTCCATTACTTTGGTTTGAAGGCTGGTGTTTTTCTCCAGATTGAGGTCAGAGGGGAGAAATACCTGACACTCTGGACAGAAGAAAGGACCCTCATTAGGTCCATCTGTTTCCCACACAGCCTGGATACAGGTGAGACAGAAATCATGTCCGCACGGCAGCGTCACCGGATCTGTGAAGAAGTCCTGGCAGACGGGACACTTTAAAGTTTTCTCAACAGTCCCCATGGCTCTGCTTGCACCTGTTATGGCAGCTCAGAGTGCACTGTGCTCCTGGGCTTCCTGCTCATCAATGTTTCACAGGCCTCTCTTGGCATGCACACGCCACTCATGTGCCTCAGTGTCAGATTACTAAAGATGAGTTGACATCCTCCAGTAGCTGTTTCAAGCCATTGACTCTCAGGAGACTACACACAATTGAATGGAACATTTCCAACAAACTGGATTAAGTGTATTGAGTTATCAGTTAGTTTTTTTAAATTGAATCAAACTAAAATGAATTAATGTAACTGAGAAAGTTCATTCTTTACTCAACAGCAGTTTGACAAAAATAATTCACTTACTAGCTTTTTTGAGGAGCTTTCAACTGCATCTGTAAGTCTTGATTAGCAGATAGAGTTTTCTGGGATGTCATAGCATGACATGTTAAGTGAACTGTGATTTAAGATTTATTTTAACATTTTCATTTTACAACAAATATGTGACACATTCAATAAATCAATACTTTCATCCCAAAACATATATCTCATGCAAAACAATAATTAACAAATAATATATGTCTAAAATCTGCAGTTATTTATATTTTGATATTTATACAATTAGTTTGTTTTCTTAACTTTAATAAAAGCTGAAACAAATGAACAGCCAGTGTATATTTCACCCTCCATCCCTGTGCTTGTACCCCCCACAGCCCCAGAAGCGTCCACCCAGCCAGTTTACGTTTTACTACTATTTCTGCGTACGTAAAGACGTAATCTGCCGCCGTACCCAGATAGCCTACGTTCACGTCGTTCGTGCATACCTCAACTACGGCACTTCCCATCCAACGTGGGCTGTGGATGTGGCAAAGCAAAGCACCGCCAGTCCGGCTGCTACGTGTCTCCTGCTGTGCACTCGCTGGTGTAGTTGTGGTTGGGTTTTATAGATTTTCACACTGACAGGTAAGGAGCTATTTTGCACCAAAGTTCCTCCGCGTGTTTAGTTGAAAGTAGCCGCTAAACTAGGCGAGGTGTGGTAGCTCACAGTAGCTAATGCTAGCTAACGTCAGCTAGCCCCAGGTACGTTTTGACAGCAACACTGGACACATAGCTACAATCTGTTAGCCTTTTTGTTGTTGTTAAAACTAACTCTTAACTTTAGTGGCTTCACATATGTTAGAGTTTATTTGTGTGCACAGCACCAAGCTCCTGGGTGTTTCTACTGGCGAATATTATAAGAGAATGAATCCAGACAACATCATCTTTACTGGGTCAGTCTGCCAAGTTCAACTAACACAGTGCTGATAATAACCATATGGCACAGGATGCAAAGCTTTCCAGTGAGACTAAAATAATGTTCAAATGAATAATATTCAATGAGTTTGATATTGTATGATATTTATATTTGTAAGCCTTGGTTTAGAGCCAACTATACATGTTGTCTATCATATCCTAAAGCTGCTTATCTCAGATGAGGTTATTGCACTGTAAGAGTGACCTGTCACTGGTTTGTGTGTTCACAGCTGTCCTTAAGTGTCAGAGCCATGTTTGCCAGGCTGGCCTTGTGCTCTCGCCTGCCATCCAGAATCCGGCAGTCCAATGGATGTCCGGCCTCCATCAGAGCGTATTCCCAGGTTAAATGTAAGTAACTAGCCAAGTTCTTTGTCATACCTGAACTATTCTCATAATTTCTTTTGATATGTACGCTATAATGCATGCATGCTGATGTGTAATAAAATGTGACTTTGTTATTCTCTGCAGTCCCACGTCCCCATGGGAAGTCTTTTGCCCACCGCAGTGAGTTAAAGCAGGCCAAACGCATTGTAGTGAAGCTGGGGAGTGCTGTTGTGACGCGGGATGAGTGCGGCCTGGCACTGGGACGACTGGCCTCAATAGTAGAGCAGGTAACGCCACATTAATATTATGGGAGAGGAACTCTGTTGATGATGGCTGTGGTAGTGTCAGCAAAACATTATGTGGGCTCAAGGAAGACTTAAAAACAAACTGGACTGAGAAGTGATCTTGGCTGTTAAAGAAGAACTTGAATGTCTTTGTGTGACCCGTCAGGTGGCCGTGCTGCAGAATCAGGGCAGGGAGATGATGATTGTCACCAGTGGAGCTGTGGCGTTTGGGAAGCAGAGACTGAGACATGAGATCCTGCTGTCTCAGAGCGTCAGACAAGCCTTGCATTCTGGACAGAACCAACTCAAAGACATGGTGAATAATAATCTTGAACACTGGGAATTTAAGAGGAATGCTTAAAGACATTTGTTGACTTTTGTTCACAGTCTTGTTAACCTTTGTGAAATTTCTTTGTCTGTCAGTCAGTTCCAGTCTTGGAGGCAAGAGCATGCGCAGCTGCTGGACAGAGCGGTCTGATGGCGTTGTATGAAGCTATGTTCACCCAGTACAGCACCTGCACTGCACAAGTATATGTTCGACTGTTCTCGCCAAATAAAACACTGTCAGCAAATGAGTTAAATGTCACTTAATTCCGTACATTTCTGTCCACTTCTGTAGATTCTGGTCACCAACTTGGATTTTCACGATGAGCAGAAGCGTCGCAACCTGAACAGCACGCTCCATGAACTGCTGCGGATGAACATCGTTCCTATCATCAACACCAATGATGCTGTTGTTCCGCCCCCTGTTCCCAACAGTGACCTGCAGGGGGTTAATGTGGGTACTGTGTGAAGAGCATGCTGGGAATGCTAAATGTGGTTGTGATGGTGGATTGCTTCAGTCATACATTAATGAAAGATGTGTGTTTCTTTTTACCTCCATCCTCGCTAACATATAACGTCTTGGACACATGCTTTTAATTTTAAAGGCTGCTTTTAATGTTGTAATGTTGTCATGTTAAAGTATGGTGGCCATGCATGAACTTGCTTGTGTTATCTGTTTTTGGAAAGAGGTGAACATATGTTGTTTGTTCTGTAACTGAATGGGACGGGGAGGCTTTTGTTGCATGGTAGCAACTGATAAGCTCTTATTTTACAGTATAATGTGAGATACAGTGATTTTGCTTTTGGCTTAATGAAATTTCTGTTTGTTTTTCAGGTAATCAGCATCAAAGATAATGACAGCCTGGCTGCACGGCTGGCTGTTGAAATGAAAGCAGACCTCCTTATTGCCCTGTCTGATGTTGAAGGTACAGAAATAATTACTGATTTGATGATTGATAATGAAAGACGCTACTGAGGTACTGTACATGGAATGTGACATACAGTGTTCGTTGGAGCGTTTCAATACTAGAGAATAAAAGTCAGGGTTTCTTAGCATTAGCTGCTCTGATTTTGACCATTCTTCCTTATAATCTGTCTCCCAACTCCATGGAAGTGTAATGCTAATTCACTGGAGTACTTAAAAAAGGTAAAATTATTAATCATTAATTAATAAACGTATCATTTCAGCAATGATATCCTGTTACTGCATTGTGATATGCTAATCGAAACTTTCCGTACACTATTGGGCCTCTTTGTCAGGGTTTTCTTGATCGAAAGATCTCAATATCAGTGTGACTCCTTTGGTTCTGTGAAGGATTAAAAAGGAAAAAATATCTATTCCACAGGCTTATATGACAGTCCCCCAGGAACAGATGATGCCAAGCTCATTGATATTTTCTATCCTGGAGACCAGCAGTCAATCACGTACGGCACCAAGTCCAGAGTCGGCCTTGGCGGCATGGAGGCCAAGGTCAGCATGACACACAGTATTGTATCTCAAAGTGTAAACAGGACTGAGCTCATGGAATGATGAAGAAGCTGCATTATGTTGTCTGAATCAGGTGAAAGCAGCCCTTTGGGCACTGCAGGGTGGGACGTCAGTTGTCATTGCCAACGGCACACATCCCAAAGTCACAGGTCACGTCATCACAGACATTGTGGAAGGGAAGAAAGTTGGCACCTTTTTCTCTGAAGTGAAACCTGCAGGTACAGGATACAACCATCTGAAAATAATATTTTACCTGCTTCTGTGTGTTTTTTACATTTGATTAATTTATTATTGATACCACCAGGTCCAACTGTGGAGCAGCAGACAGAGATGGCCCGGCATGCAGGCAGGACTCTGGCCTCCCTGCTCCCTGAACAGGTGAGGTTCTTGCACTCTCAGTGTGGTCTGGCTAACTGTAGTGAGGTTTTAAGATGCTTGTATAAGAGGATGATTTTTCAAGTTGTTTTGAGGCTTGTATGATTATATATATATTTCCTTACTGGAATGGCATTTATTGCAATTTATTTAGCACTGCTCTATTAAGATTTAATCCAACAGGTTTTCATTACATTGATTAATATTTTTATATTGACCTCATTATATAATTTGTGAATTATGAAGTATTATTCAATTTTACATTGTACCGGTAGCAAATTGAATTACTCTTGATACTGGTGTTGTTAATCATATGGGTGTGTGCATGTGTTTGTTTGTTCCAGCGAGGGGAGATCATCTGTTGTCTTGCTGAGCTGCTCACAGAGAAGAAAGAGGAGATTCTCAGTGCCAACAAGAGAGACATGGAGTTAGCCATAGCATCAGGTACAGAGTAGGGCTGCACGATATGGTAAAAATAAATCATATTGCGATTATTTTGACAGATATTACCACTTCAGTATGATTCACTTTTAGTGAGAACAGTGATTTTGCATCACAATTTTCAAGTTTCACTGAAAAAAACTTAAAATAATGATGATGTGACATTTGTTTTCTTATGTATGGGGAACAAGATTTGTAGCTCAGGTAATCTCCGTAGCACTGCTTTACTTCATTATAATGCTGTTTTGTCACACGTTTTACTTTACCTTCTACAAACTGCACTCATCCATACTGCGATTGGTGCCATTCTGTGCCCTATGTTGTAGGGCGGCATAGCATAGTGATAGATGTTCTCTACATGGATCTATAGAGTATTGCGTTGTCAGTGTTTTTATTCATTTATTCGATGTCCTCGTAGGTCGTTTCTCCCAGCCTATGATCAACCGCCTGAGCCTATCAACTGCTAAGCTGAACAGCCTTGCCATTGGCCTCCGTCAGCTTGCTGTATCCTCCAGAGATAGCGTGGGTCGGGTGCTGAGAAGGACCAGGGTAGCCAACAACCTAGAGCTCGAACAGATCACTGTCCCCATTGGTGTCCTGCTGGTCATCTTTGAGTCGCGTCCTGATTGTCTCCCACAGGTCAGTCAACCCTCAATGCGCAGCCTGTGGGCTTAATCACCATTACCTGCTGGCCTTAAGACTTTTTTACATCTTCGTCTTTAAAGTTCAGCTCAGATTTTTATGTATGTAATGTTGTGTTTCAGGTGTCAGCTCTGGCCATTGCCAGTGGAAATGCTTTGCTTCTGAAGGGGGGTAAAGAAGCTGCAAACACCAATAAAATTCTACATCAACTTACACAAGAAGCACTTTCCATTCATGGAGTAGCAGATGCAATTCAACTGGTAAAACTGGAAGCATTATTTTGTCTAAACACAGTGTTTTTACCTCATTGCAGTATTACCTCAAATATCCAGTGATATGTTAAAATTCACCTTTACCTCGTGTAGGTAAGCACACGGGAAGAAGTTGAAGATCTGTGCAGACTAGACAAGTTGATCGACCTCATCATCCCAAGGGGCTCATCCAAGCTGGTCCGAGACATCCAGAGGGCAGCCAAGGGTATTCCCGTTCTGGGCCACAGTGAGGGTGTCTGTCACGTCTACGTAGACAGCGAGGCCAGCATAGACAAAGCCATTGATGTTGGTATGTGGTTCCTGTGTGTAGCTCTTCTGATGTTGTTTCCATTACTGCTATGGTTTGGTCACAGTGTTTTGCAAGTTGTAAAAAAATCTTGTTCTGTTTGTTAATTGAGTGCACCTAACAGTTGTAATGGATATTATTTCACATGTTTCCCAGGATTTGTGGTTATTAACTTGTTGGGGTAACTGCTGAATTAATATAGATGTACTAATTTATGTTTCATTCTAGTCAGAGACTCCAAATGCGACTACCCCGCGGCCTGCAATGCCATGGAGACCCTCCTTATTCACAGAGATTTACTGCGAACCCCTATATTTGACCAGATCATTGATATGCTAAGAACAGAACATGTAAGAAAAATGCACCCACACTCCATGATTTACAGTATTACACACACAGTACAGTATTACACATAGCATTACAGTATATCATTGTTTCATGTTACCATTCTTTACTCTCAGGTAAAGATCCATGCAGGCCCCCGGTTTGCATCCTATTTGACTTTCAGCCCATCTGAGGTGAAGTCTCTGAGGACAGAGTATGGGGACCTTGAGTGTTGCATTGAGGTGGTAGACAGCATGCAGGATGCGGTGGACCACATCCACAAATACGGCAGCTCCCACACTGATGTCATTGTTACAGAAAATGAAGAGACGGCCGAACAGTTTCTGCAGCAGGTGGACAGCGCCTGCGTATTCTGGAACTCCAGCTCTCGCTTTGCAGATGGTTACCGGTTTGGCCTAGGTATGTACACAATCAGGCATCATTTTACTTCTTCTTTTGCCATCTGTAATAAAATATATATCCTTTTGTAAATCGATCTAACTTACCACTGTGAGTTAAGTTAATTGTATTTATTTTGCAGGAGCTGAGGTTGGTATCAGTACTGCACGGATACATGCCAGAGGTCCAGTGGGTTTGGAGGGGCTTCTGACCACCAAATGGGTCCTTAGAGGGGAAGGGCACACTGTGTCTGACTTCTCTGAGCAAGGCAGTATGAAATACCTTCATGAAAACATCCCTGTTCCCCAAGGGAGCTTTAGTTAGGTGCCCAACCAAAGAACCATCGACCGGAATCAAGATAACTGATGTCTGCAGAGTTTATTTAAAGGTTTGTGTCTGCCAGTAGCACTTCATGTTTTTAGCTGCTGCTTCATCGTTTACTGGACAGCCAAGTCCCTGGTTTTGTGAACCTGTGCATAAACCTGTGAATCAGTTTTAAGATAAATGCGTATCTCATGAGAAAGTGTTGTAACGTGACTGATGAGAGGGAAAAGTATTATGGTAAAAAGAAAAAATAAACTATGTACATGCGTTTCTCTTCCTCTATAAGGTCATTTTTATGGTGGCAGAAAAAAAGAAATGAATTGCCCAGCTGCAATTTTCTAACTTATTTTTCTACATACAAACTCTCCCGTGGTCTTTTTGTAATTTACTCTAAGTGTTGTTTGTGCAGGATCTTGGTTCAGATTAATTTTGCTGTCCTTCCTCTTTGCACAGATAATTTAATAAATATGCTGTACAGTTCTTCCACTCATGATTTTGTGTTTTATTTGTCACAACCATAAAATAACTCATAAATTCTCATTAAACCAACACATCTACAGCACAAAGCTTTCCTACGGTGGCCCTGAGGTGCAAATCACAACAACAAAAGAGAAAACACAACACAACGGCAAATCAAAAATCACAACAACAAAAGAGAAAACACAACAGCAAATCAAAAAACACAACAGCAAAAGAGGAAACACAACAGCAAATCAAAAAACACAACAGCAAAAGAAAACAACGGCAAATCAGAAAACACAACGACAAATTACTGTACCTGAACACATCCTCGCTGTACCAGTGAAAGGACGGACCAGTTCTTTTGTCCAATCAGCGACGATTCAAGTCGCCCGAGGGTACCTACCTTTTCCAGTCTGGTTAATATCGTTGTGTTTTCTCTTTCGTTGTTGTGATTTGCACCTCAGGGCCACCGTACTTTCCAGATAGAAGAAGCGTTTTCAAAAAAAGTTCCCACTTAACCTTCAACCTTCAACGCAGCACTGGTGACGTCTTGGATGTGGGCGGGGTTTGACACCCAGCAGCATTTGCGGACACCGGGCAAACTCAGCTGTCACCTGCCTGGATATTAAACATGGCAGGAAATAAGTCTTATACTATAGTGGAATATTTCGGCGGGGACGACGGCTACCGCTGTGGTTACTGTAAAAACGAAAAGGGGAACTTTTCTCATGGTAAGAGTCCGCTGAAGTAACGTTAGCTAGCTCGCTGAACTGGCTCATGCTAACGACCTAGCTAGCTCCGTCTACTTGCTGGAATAGTCACCGGGTTTGAACAGAGGGTTAGTTAATGTTGACACTGTCGTTATAATCCTAATGTCAGCACCAGCTGTGCTCAAACTGCAAGACAAGAACACGATGCCGAGTGTACACATTAGTTAGCGTTCACCTAACGTTACGTGAACTCAGTTTTTAGCCCTTAGCATCTCGCAGTCCGACTCTTGAATCGTGGGGGAAACGAGACTGTCGTTGCATAAAGCGAGTTCAGACAGTTAGAGGAAGATTGCGCCGGTGTTGTTGACTCACTATCCCGTTACAGAAATGTCTTACTCGAGGCTGATGCTGTAACATTGGCAGCTTAGCACTGGACTTCCCTGCTAGCATCAAACTAGCCCACGTTAAACAGAGCAGGGCTGTTGTCTTGTGAGCGAAAGTGAAGCTGTGACTCTCTCATTTGGTCAGTCGGTGCTGTTTTTTTTTTAATTACAGCCAGTTCTGTTTCAGGTATGGAAATGCTGGGTGTGCTGTTTTGTATGTACACGTAGCTTATTGGTGTGGAGAGGTGTGATGGGCAGTACAGACTGGGTGGAGTGCTGCAACACGAACAGCTTTACAGTATCTGTATTTTATGTGATCTCAACAAACTGCTGCTTCTTTACTGTGGCAGCATCACCTGAGATTAAAACATAGTACCCCAGTTAATAATTCACTCATTTTTGACTCCTAGTTTTGTAGTAAAAGTGAAGGCTGGAGTGTTTTTAAGTCTTTGATATGTCAGAAACCACTCTGTCCACCTGCAGTGGGAATCCTCTCTTCCTGATCCAGTTGTGAGGGTTGGATTACTTCCAAGGGAACTCTGATATGGTCTGTTTAAAAGTGATAATGTAAAGAAACAAGGACAAAATGTCATGACAAATGAAGTGGAAACAACACAGTTTCTTTTTCACGCATCTGTCTGTCAGACTGTATCGGAAAAAATGTCTTTGTCATTTGGCAATCGATGGGAAACCTGTAGAAATCAGTGAAAACTCTAAGAGTCTTGGACAGCGACAAACAAGGACAGAGCCTTTCCACCCACTACCTGCTGTATAATTCTGCTCACAGGAATGGCGACACACAGTCACATGCCATGAAGGTTTATAAATATTCCCTTACAAGCGGAAGTGGAAGTAGACAGCTGAGCAGAGCTTAAACGATACTATAATATGCTGTATGTTGTGTTGAGAGGCAACCAAGGTTAATGTTACTCTGCATTCTGACTTTGATACAGAGCTATAAAAAAAAAGCAGTGTAAGAAGGGATTTTCTGTGTAGGACAGAATAGTGTCATTCAGTGGAGCCAGGTACGAGACAGGTTGACTATAATTAGGGTTCAGGCTCTAATGCAGCCTGCAGACAAGAGCTGTTGTCTAAAGCAAGATAAGAGTGGTAATCTGGATGTGTTACATCATGTGTGCATGGCAGGTTCTGGGGAAGAAGGAAGACTTCCTGTGTAATTCTTTTAAGGTATCACTGATAGCGTTAAAAGGTTATACGTTCCTTGTGGTGATGCAGGTTAAATGTAAGTGTACTAGACCTACAACAGTAGAGCTGAGCCCATTATTTCAGGCCACCTAGGACCAGTTGATTATTTCCAGTATTGTATTTGCCTGGGAAGATGTGGAGCAGCCTATAGATCAACAGTTTTTATCAGTTATATGAGCAGTGTTCCTGTTGTTGTATTGTAAACCTTTTCTAGCAGATGCTCAGTATAAGATAATATTTTCCTTTATGCGATTTGATGCACTGATGTTATCAACAGTGTTGTTACATACAAAGCAAATGTGACCCTACACTACAGAGTACAACATCTGCCCTCCTCTGTGGCTGTCAGGCCTCAGTGGAAATGTATCAGGTGTGAACAATGGAAAGGCGCTCCTGTTGTACCATGATGACGGCAGCTGTTGCACTCCCATCCAGCTCACATGGCGTGATTCATTTGTACTCTTTTACTCTTTTAAGCTTCTGACTTAATCTAACGTGTTATTGTGAGTTTTCCTTTTTAATACCCCATACTCAAATTCATTTGACAATTTGACAGCTCTCTTAATTCTAATAATTGTGGGACCGTAGGGCAGAAACCCGTAAGAGATTACTTTATAAATGTATGCTGAGGCCATAAATGGTATTTAAACATAACTTCCCATACATCTTAAATTATAGATTTCTATAAATGAGTAAAGGTTTTATGGTGCCTTTGATTTGGTGTAATTTTATGCTGTTTATTCAGTTTTTGTGCCAGTGAAGAACTCAGCCAACTTAAATACTGTGTAGCTGCATCACTGACGATGATTTGGAAAATCTTATGTCAAAAAGATTTTGACATAGTCTGATGATCAAATATGTTGTTTATTATGGTGTTTGCTTATATCCAATCTTTAATATACTGTGATAGTATACTCGTGAAGCCCTTTAACTTCTGGTCCAATAATGACAATATCTGTCCCTCAGATAATCCCGTTTTTAAAAAAAGACAACCGGCGGTCTTGCGGCTGTATCTACAGGCCTAGCTCCAGTCTTTTACTGCTTCAGTGTTATAGTGTTGCTCTGTTGAATTACTCTGTGTTGTCTCTGTGGACTGACTAAACACCATTCCCCTGGGACATACTCTAGGTCATTATACTCGGTTGCAAACTTAGTGTGTGTTGTGTGAACTGGTATACAGTTAATTTCCCCAGTTGTTTTAGACGTAAACTGATAGGGGCCTCGTTGTAGAGATGTTTTTGGTGTGTGTGCGCATGCAAACTGGGTATATGGTTGCAGAGGAGAAGGTCAGGAGTTGAAACAGGGAGCTCAGACCCCAGTACAAATAATAAATCTGTGTTACCACTGTGGGGCTTAAAGCACTGTGGGAATGTACTGGGGGGTTCATTTAAGATGAAACAAAAAGTGGACCTCCCACCAGACTCTGAGCAGCTTCTTGACAAACCACTCCTTATATGGCTGTAGTGGTTCGTGTATGCGTGCCGAGCCGCCGCGGTACAGGGGTCACGGTTCGGTGCACGCAGACTACATGGTATGGAGGCCAGATTGATGCATGTAATATGGAACCAAACTTCACAAGCACAAGTCTGTGGACATATTTTTAATCTATAATTTTCTCAGGCTGCACTGATTCAATGCCCTTTTCTGCCTGTTTTTAATATCATTAGGCGACACAGTCTGATGCAGTTCAATTTTAAAAGTGTAAAGTGATATGAAATCAATTAAATGTTTCAAAGTTACAAATGTTCTTTTTGTTTTCTACAGGGATGTGGACTCACACCATGACTGTACAGGACTACCAAGATCTCATAGACCGAGGTTGGAGAAGGTCAGTAGCTGTCTCTGACCTTCATGCAATCCCTGCATATGGACATTTTGAATTTTCTTGTTAATAAAATGTCATTTTGGATATTTCAAATCAGTGATAATGTTCTTAGTGAAGTTTATTTATTCTTTCTTTTCAGAAGTGGGAAATATGTCTATAAGCCTATAATGAACAAGACATGCTGTCCACAGTATACGATCAGGTAATGATATTTTACCCATCAGATTTCCTATGAATTATCCCGTGGTTTACTTCAGAAATGACCCGTGGTAGTTTAAAGATATATTAAATAACCTATTAAATATTTGTATAACAAGCAGAAATACAAATATATGTTGTTCTGACCTTTACTGTTGTGCTCTCTGTCAAGATGTCATGCACTGAAATTCCAGCCTTCCAAATCCCACAAGAAAATCCTGAAGAAGATGAGCAAATTCCTTTCCAAAGGGGAATTACCAAAAGGACCGGGTGATGGTGAGGGTATGTTTACTTTTGTATAATGTATTAATGTATGTGTATTGTCTGATACATTTCTCTGCACTGGTATACAGTACATGCATGAAAAACAGTTGTGAGCTGTCAACTCTATTGAGTTCATGGTTGAATTACAGTTAGAGATGGGCACAAACTCAATACGTGTTGGTACTTTAGTGCTGTAGTACACTTTATCTGGTGTAAGCAATATTGATTTTGTGCCTTGTAGGAGAGCCAATGGACTCAGTGTGTGAAGAAGCAGGTCTGAGAGAGCCTAGTAAAGTCTGTCACTCAGATGTGAAGTGTGCTGCTATCACAGACATTCAGAAGGAAGTAGTAGAGTCTCCTGCTATCACAGAAGATCAGAAGGAGGTAGCGGATGTTGCACCTGCCAGCTTGGAAACATCAAGACAGAATCCAGTGTCTGTCC